GCGAGAAAATGCTCATTGTGTTGATATTCCAAGGTATCAAGAATCCCATCATAAAGAAAGCTCTGCAAATTTTGCAAATTAAATAAAAAACCGGGTGAAATGCTTGGATAAGAATGATACCTTAGCAAACCAGTGACTCTTACAAAGAAAGGAGATTTGTCAAGATTGATACAGTAGAAAAGAGGTGATTGCCATATAGTAGAGCGGCGTTGCTAAAATAATTTCATGAAGTTAATAAAAAAATTGCTAATAAAATCATGATCGTTACCTCAGCCGTAAGTTTCCAGTAGTCCTCCTCCATGGCATCAAAATATCTCTCACCAAATATGGAATCGCAATCTCCTGTTGTCACAAGAAGCTCGACTTTGTTCCCAAATTTATCGAGTGGGTAGTTCTAGAAAATATTGAAAAATTATGTGATTACAAAGATTTTTGACACTAACCTTATCAAGTCTCAATTGTTTTACTGCTTGACGGCTTGCGTAATTGAAGTTTGAGCATTTACCTGTGTCAAAATTTTTAGCTGTAGATCAAAAGAAAAATGTGTCTTGACTCTTACCTGGTATATCTCCTGGCAAATTTTTTGGATGAAAAGTGACTATGAAACGGTCAAATTGCGACTCGTACTTATCGTGAAGAATCTTCTTCTTCTGAAAAAAAAGTCTAGTTCAGTTCACAAGTCCGCCCTTTCTCCCTATATTCCGCAAAAAAATTTATTTTACCCTCTACCTTTTCTTTATCAGGTGTACCTTCTTCCATTCCAACTAAGCATGTAATTTTCTGTTTAGCATCAGGTTGCGAGGCAATACTGAAATAAAGCTGTTCACTTCAAGTTGTTTCATTATATATGACAGACAAACCTATCTACAGTATCCATTATCAGTTGCAAAGGTTCCTTGTATATGCATATACCTACCAAATGCTTTACCTGTATTTTTTCGGGATTATCAACCTAAAAAAGTAAATCAATACCCTGCATGCGCTGTTTTAATGAAATTTAAAATAAAAACAAACCTTGCTGAGATCAATTTTATGAGAAGCGTAACGTCTGAGACGGTATGTATATCGCAGTGCATTGAAGACAGCAACCATCCAAAGAAGATGAAGAACTATACAAATGATGGTGACAATTTCCAAAGCGAAGTCCTGGAAGAAAAAATTGAAGTCAAGTATAAGAGAAGAATAAAAAATATAGTGCTCACATTCAGACCAGGGATGGCCGGGACCCATATGGATGACGAAATGAAGAGAAAAATCAAGAAAGTGAATAGCAAATTCCATCTGATATAGCGATTAGCTGGTTTTGCTATTCGACCAGCATAGGAACTCAATCTAAACTCAGAATTTCGTTATACATACTACAGAAATAAGAGAGAGCATTCTGAAATTATCTTTGAAGCCTATGTACACATGCTTTCCATTTGTCAAATTCTAAATTTGTTTAG